TTGCTTCAGCTGTCTTGACATGCCTCAATGTTCAGGAGAGACATTTCCTAATTCGTGTTGGAAAAGGTTCCTGCCAAACAAAAGCTGCAGGATACCTCAAGGCTTGCACCGATGTACCTTCCCTTTGTGCAACACACTTTCTTGTGTGGCCTGGCAATAAAGGTGAGCTAGGTGGAGTAAAGATGGTGGAGGAGGAGTGTGGCTGGTAGAAGCTGGTTCCCATGAGCAGTGCAAAAGCCGTATGTACGGGGAGTTTGCAGATGTAAGTAGCACACGGTGGGGTCTGCATGCTAATCCCTGAGAGAAGAGCCTCAGGCACAGCCCCAGTACTACCCAACGCCCTTCAGAAACCTTCTGCTGACTGCAGCCTTGCCCCTGGGCACAGAGGCGATGGGGCCCACGTGGGAGATGGATTTCTGCCTGGAAGACCCATGCCCAGCTGCAGCAAGCACCCAGGCTTGCATCCTTCCCCGCTGCTGGAAGCTGAGCCTTCAGCCCCTGAAGAGTGAGGCGTATCTGATCTGGAGAGGATCCCAAGCCCATGCAGGGCGTGCACGTGGAGCTTGAAACTGCTTGCTTCCTCTCTGGATTTTCTGTGCAGCTCTTCAAACAAATAGTCTTTGCCCAGTTAATAATTGATGAAGAAAATAGCTGTTATTAGTTGCACGGTGCTCTTGGCATGACAAACAACTGGGAAGCTGTGCTACAAGTAGGTCATCGCTCACGGTACTTGTGTACTTCCCTCGTCCTTCCAGTGCACTGGTTCTGGGAAGCTGGCACCATTTTTCTCCTGTGAGTTTATCAATGATAAATGCTCTGTCACTCAGTGTTTTGCTTTTTGAAACTAACCTTGGGCTAGGCCACGCAGGGGATAGAGAAAAGCAGAACAGGCAGCATCATAAGTTTACTTTCTGTAATAGTTTATAAGAGAGAGACAGAGAGCACGCAAGAGCCTCCAGCAATGCAGGGATTTGCCTGATCTGATACCATCAGCATTCATTGCAGCTTGGGTATATGGCAGCAGCTAGTATGGAGGGACTTCTTCCTTGGATTTACCATGGATGAGTTGTCCATGCTGTTTCTCATAGGGTTGGCATCTGTGTCCCCTAGCACTTCGCCATGGCTGGTAATAGTCTAGCCAAGGCTCAGAAAGGTAAATAGCCTTTCCTGGCATGATGGTTTTGAGGCACATGTTCCTCTGACTTGAGGGCTCTTCTGTGCTCTGGCTCATGGATTTGGCTCACAGGACTCTTGGCGTGGCCAGGAGGAAAGGGCTGGTCTGCTTGCTGGCACAGTTGCTCCTGATGTGCCTGGTGTGCCAGGGCAGAGAGAAGCACCCACAAGGACAAGATGCCTGTTGTCCCATGTAAGGTGGCGTGGCAGAGTGTGCCTTGGTGCACTTCACAGATTGCAGCTTTTACTGTGGGGCAGGGGGACACTGGTGGTGGCTCTTGCTGCTCCTCACATACTTTTTGTTATAGTCATGGATGCTTGCTGTGGGCTCCTCGTAAGAAGACTGGGTCCATGCCTCCGGGCTGCAGGCATTAATTATCACTTATTTTTTGGCTTCGAAGTCAGGTGACTGTAGTGCTATCCACCTTCAGCATGTCTAGCTGTCTTTGGAAATTACAGCCAGCGTGTATGGCTGGCTGCGCCAGTCGCCTCTTGGTAAGGAGTAACGTGACTTTGATCTACAGAGCTCCAGGTGGCTCAGCTCCCACTCTGGTAGCTGCCTCCCTCCTTCCTAATTCCTACAACAGCTGGAGGTGTCCCAGCGACTGTACTGGCTACTCCCTTGCTATGGGCTAGGTGCGGCTTTTATACCAAAACATCTTCAGTTCTGCAAGCGGGGGCTGTAGAAACAGAGGCCGCCCCATTTCCCAAACTTCTCTGTAGGTGGGGGCTGCAAAGTCAAATAGGGTTTCTTTGTGGTTGTTGCTGTTGTTGTTTTTAAAGGCAGTTGGGAATTTTACTGTCTAGTTTTGGCCAACCTTTGTTTAGCATCACTTGTGCATAGGCACGGTGTGCCAGATTGCAAGTAACAAAAAATACCATTCAAAAAGAACCCCGAAATGTGACAAGTTCCTGGTCCTGACAGAATCTGCCTCACCAGCATAGTCATGAAACTGGGAGGCAGAGAAGGAAAGAACTTGGAGAAGTGGAGAACAGTAGAAATACGCCTGGAGGGCTGTTACAAGCTGGCTCGAATTTTCAGTCTGTACGGTTCCTGTGCAGGGAGGGCAACGGTCTGAGAACGGGATGGGAGCTGCTGTTGCAAATCATGTAGGGAAGCCCAGGCACAGCAGAGGGGAGGTGGCGGTGGGGCAGGAAAAGATGGGGTCACCATCACAGACTGGGAGCAAGGCGAGAGCTAGAGATCAAGTCCACATAGCATGGGGACAGCGAGGGTGAGAGGCACTGTGCTGTCTTGAGCCTGAAGACTTCTTAAGTAATGGTGTTTGGATGCATGAAGGCTAATGAACTGGGACTCTCCAGTGGGACTCGGGAGCAGCGGCATTGAGGGGAAGGTCTGGACAACATACCCTGCCAGATACTCTCTGATGACTGTGCCCAAGGAGATGAATGAGTATTAAGATGCAGTAATACATGCGAAAACCACAGCATGCCCTTTACACTTGCTAATTGCTGCAATTTGTGCGGCCTGTGTTGAGGAAAGCTAGCACGTGCTTGAGCCTGGAGAAAGGAGGCTTTGGGAGAAGGTGGAACGGTCAGCGTGTGAGCAAAGAGGCTCCTGGCTCCCATGCTGGAGGTGTTGAGGGGGCTGAAGGCTGCAGACTTGGCCAGGGGCGGCACTGACACAAAAGCACAGCCCCAGTACCTGCCTGGGAGGCAGAGAGGGGCTTGTGCTTGAGGGAGGGTCCTCATGCCCTACCTAGCAACAGGCAAACATCAAGACGTGTGGTCTTGCACTCCGCAGCGGGGCCTGGGAGGCAGTTCTGCTGGGGCAAGCAAGAGGTGTGAAGAGTGACCAGGTGCTCTGGTGACAGGCAAAATTGTGGTGAGTGACGTGCAAACAGGCAAAAATATTAAGAGTGAAGAATGATGCATTCCTTACCTGGGTCCCACAGAAGAGGGATCAGGAGGAGCCCATAGCAGAAGCAGTTTGAGGCGTATAACCCAGCCACAAACAGGAGGAAAACAGCAAA